GACAAGGTCTTACTTGCTATCCAAGGTTCTTGTCCAACTTATAGTTCTTCTCACTTCTCACTTTTCGGAGAGCCTGGATTACAAATTTGTACCATCTTACGCACACTTTTTGACTGAGCACATTGCAGTTTTGAATATGGTATCAAATTGTTTATCATTTCATCGATTCCTTGGTGTTCACGACAGTCAAGCAAAGCATGGCAATGAAGCATTTTGAAAATATCATGACCGGCAGCTGGAGAGATGAATCAAGAGCTAGTGGCACATGAAGCTTTTTCAGATGACCTAGGTTCAGTTTCCAGAACCCATACATCCCACTCTAACTCTACTTTCAGGAAATTTGACACCCTTTTCTGGCATTCTTGAGCATTCGGCAAGCATGTGGTACACATTCATGCATGCATGAAAAACACTTACACACATATAAAACAATCAACCAATATTTAAAAACAATAATAATAATAATAATATATCGAGACCAAAAGATTGTACAGTATGGTCAAAATGATATTTCTGGGCAGTATTCCCCAGGTATTAGAATAAAAGCAAGCAATTATCCAAGTAAGAAGTAGATGATCCCATCCCAAGATTAAATGAGTAATGCTATATGACATTTGCTACTGTTTAAATAACTAGAATTTACTGCCGTGTCTTACAAATTATTTAACCAAATTGCATTTATGCATTTTAGTTAAATTTTCTTTTTATATTTTGTGCTAAATTGGTCTGTCATTGTCATTTGAATCTCTTCTAAATGTTTAGCCTCCTGTTCCCAAGATAGATAAAAAATTGAGCAACATTGAACCACTTTTGTAACACAGTGAAAACACACACAGAAGCCTACACAATTGAATTGTTAAGTTATTACCCAGAAAGAGGTCTGTTTTCATAAAACACAATGAAAGTCTGTTCCAGGAATGGTAGAATTTCAGCCATGTGCATCATGGTATGCCTGTGCTCACAGCACTTGGGAGGAGGAAGGAGGAGAACAGGAGCCCAAGGCCAACATCACTCAGTTCCATTACAAGCTTGAGGCTAATGTAAGCTGTGTGAGAAGCCATTTCAAAAAAAAAAAAAAAAAAAAAAAAGAAGTAAATTTTACTGAACTGTTAACTATGAAAAATGTAATAACTCCTTATCTGTTACAGCCATAGCAATTCGTGTTTACATAAATTTGTTCTTATATATTTCCCTGAAGAGTCATAGTGCCCTAGACTCTGAATGTGTCTCTCTCAGAGCACATAGAGTAGTACTAACTCATCTCAAATTAATTGTTTGTTGAAAAAGTTCTATAGACATAGAGGCAGTGTTGGCCTCAAGGGAGTGAGTTATTGTAAATACTGTCTGAGTAGACATTTGAAAGAAACAGAGTGGGAGATAAAATTGTAGGTTCAAGAACCTATTTTTTCTTTTTTTTCTCCCACACATACACTCATCTCTTCTCATATTTTCCCCCAAACGTTGCCCATCTCTGGTTTCAAATACATATTTTTTTTATTTTAAATAAGTGTGCAAACGGTCAGTTGCTGGTAACATTTGGTGCCCTTTACCGTCTTGTGTCATACCCAAATGCTTAGAGTGCGAACACCTAGAATTCCGATGCTTTAGACCTGGAACAAAGCCTGATAGGAGTGGACAGATGCTCACTTCATGTCAGTCACTCTATTGTAAAGGAGAGCTTCAGCTAGTGCCTTTTCTCTTTTCCACTTCTTGTCTCTCTCAGCTGTTCTCACTAAGGTGTAACAGGTCGAGGAATGGAAGCTTATGAAGAGCATGGATGGATGGATGTTTTTCAAGTTTTATGTTTCCCATTTCCTCCCCCCCCCCCATAAGTAGTCATGTGCTATTACAGTCAGAAAATGACAAGTGAGAGAAAAAAAAATTAAAATCCTGGTTTTGGCTCCAGAAATTCTTTGTCCTTATCCCCTGGGAACAACACTAATCTCTTTTCACTTTTGTTTCTGTCTCAATAAACATACTAATGAAAACAAGTATTTTTGAGCAAATCCAGAACTCTCTTATAAAGCAACTGTAAACTCTAATTGTGTGGGTGGAATGTCTTATATTATTATTTTGATAATAACTACCTAAGAAAGAGAAAAGAAATTTAAGCAAGTCAGTAGAATGGTTTTATTTTCCAAGGTCATACTCAGAACTCCTAGAAATGTTGTCAACATGTGATTTTTAATTACAAAGAAGCGTTCTACTAGTTTAGTTGGAAAATTAGTCTCAATTTAAATGTGCTCATTTGGAGTGACAAAAACAAAAATAAAAAGAGACAAAAATGTAAAGAAAAACTCTGAGGTTTTTATCAGAATATATTTCTTTAGTCTCTTGGTTATAAATTGATGTCTATAATCATATAAGATGACAAATAATAACCATTTGATGCAACACACACACACACACACACACACACACACAATTTCCATTAGTGCTGATAGGAAAAGTATCGAGTAGAGGTACTATTTTGAATAAGGACAGCACAACGCTGAGCTTGTATAAAATATGTTCAAATGTAAGTGGACATAGTATGAAGTATGTGTGAAGACTGTTGTATAAAATCATAATTAACTATATTAGATCAAGATTAAGTACTATGCAGGGACACAAAATAGCCAAATGTCAAAATGACCATTGTGTACTTTCCCCCTCCCTCAACTCCTCCCAGTCCACACTCCCTCTCTCTTCCTCTTTATCCCCTTCGCCTAGTCCACTAAAAGGGGAAGTTCTTCTCTTCTGCCATCTGCCCATAGTTTATTAAGTCTCATCAGTTCTGCCTCTGTGACTATTCCTCTGTGGCCTGGCAAGGCCACATCGCCAGGGGCAAGTGATCAAAGACCAGGCAATTGTTCATGACAGAGGCAGCCCCTGCTCCTCTTACTAGGAGATCCACATGGAGACTGAGCTGCCTAAAGGCTACATCTGAGCAAGGGTCTAGGTCCTCTCCATGCAGAGTCCTTGGTGCATCAGTCTCTGCAGGATGCCCTCAGCTCAGTTTTTTTAGTTTTGATGGTCTGTTTGTGGGGCTCCTGTCCCCTCTGTGTCCTTCTATCTTCCTCTTCTTCCTTAAGGCTCCCTCCCCTCTGCCCAAAGTTTGGCTTTGAGTCTCATCATCTTGGTGGAGCCTTTCAGAAGACCCTCTGTAGTAGGTTCCCATCCTGTTCCCTCTCTTCCAACACTTCATTCCATTCTGAATGAGATTTAAACATCCTCCGTAGGGTCCTCCTGTTGTTTAGCTTCTTTAGGTCTGTCACTTTTAGTATGGCTATCCTGTATTATATGGCTAATATCCACTTTTAAGTGAGTGTATACCATGTATGTCTTTCTGTTTCTGGGTTGCCTCACTCAGGATGATCTTTTCTAGTTCCACCCATTTTCCTGAAAATTTCATGATTTTCTTGTTTTTATGTATGGCAATGAACCAATCTTCACGTAGGCAACACTAATAAAAGTTGGTTAAACAAATAAAGAAGACATGAAGTTGGGAGGCAAATGTGATCAAGGATCCTTAGGAGAACTGGAAGGACTGATTAAGGTATGAACGTGACCAAATACATCATGTACATGTTTGAAATTTTCAAAGGATAAATAAAATAAGTTAATAAATAAATAAGGAACTTAAAATAAGGGAGGATATTTAACCTGTGTCTTTTAGTAATTCAAAATGGCTTTTACATGCCCACCAACATGATTGCCTTCTCTCTCATTCTTATTCACAGATTTAATTTCTTGTCTTTTAGGGTCTTGTCATATCCTTAAGTATGAGTTGCTAGCATACTGTTGTTTTAACTTTCATTTCTCTGTTGATGCTTAATGATGATGAAGTTCATTTATAGGGCCTTGTTTGGGGGCCTCCCTACAACCAGATGTGCAATTAGCAAACAGACTGATTTAACAGTTTCTGTGAGGTGAGAAGTACAGTAGGGGTACATAGTACAATTTATGGCTAAGTTAGCCACATATTGGTATGTCCTGTGTGTTGTGATATATTATCTTTTATACACTTGTATTTTTTCATGTTTTATAGTTTTTAGAGATAAAAAACACTGCAGCTAACATATTGATTCAACAATTATACACTAATTGCAGGAATGTCTGAATTTACAATTGGCCAATGAAATAGGCTGTAACTATATAAAAAAATAGTGGCGGGGAAGGACTTACCTACTAAATGCAGTAAGTAACAAATTTTAGAAAGAGTACACCAGCCTATACATTAAATGGCTAAAACGGTTTTTTTTTCAGTTTTTATTTTTTTATTTTAAATTAATTTTTTATAATTTATCCACTTTATATCCTGTTGAAACCCCCGCCCTTGTCTCCTCCTGGTCCCACCCTCCCTTTTTCTCCCCCCTATTTTTTAGAAAGGGGGAGCCTTCCTCCCCTAGAAGATGACCCCAGTGTATCTAGTCAAATTAGTACTGCCTGCATCCTCTTCCTCTATGGCTTGACCATATCCCCCGACCAGGGGAAAGTGATCAAAGAGAAGGCAACAAAGTCCACGTCAGAGACAGCCCCAGATCTCCTTACTAGGAAAACCATACGGAGACTGCTCTGCCTAATGGCTACATCTGAGAAGAGAATCTAGGTCCTCTTCGTGCATATTTGTTGCTGTAAAAAAAAAAAAAAAAGACTGTTAGGCTATATACTGTTTATTATTAGCCCTAAGATTATCATGGCAGTATTATCTAACCTGCTATCATAAATAATAGACACAGACACCTGACAGATTTTATAATTGCCTATTTACTTTGGGCCAGGCAGAGATTTCACCTATGCTGGCCCGATAACCTCACCCTCCATCTCCCAGCCCCCATCCAGTGACATCCACCTTAATCCTGCTCATCTGGTCTATCTTCCACCCATAATCCCATGGTACTTGCTAGTATTCTTCATACGGGCCTTTTCACAGCACTATATACAGTCCTTCATCTAGGCCCATGTGGTTTCTTCTCCATGCTAACCTATCATAACATTCTCCTTCTTCCTCTCTTCAGTATGATGTTGCACCATTAACAGCATCCTGGAACAGCATGACGGCCATTAATTAAGGTACATGTACTATATAAAATACTAAAAATAGTAGAAGCATGTGTAGTGGTTTGAACAGGTTTGGCCTCCATAGAGTCATGCATTTGAATGCTTGGCCATAGAAATTGGCAGTACTGGGAGGAATGGCTTTATTGGAGGAGGTGTGGCCTTGCTAGAGGAACTGTGTCTCTGTGAAGGCAGGGCTTTGAGGTCTTAAATGCTCAAGCTAAATACCCTCAAATCTCCTCTTTTTTAATTTTTTTTTATTTTTATTATTAGTCACATTTTATTAACTCTGTATCCCAAGTGTATCCCACTCCCTTATTCCCTCCCAATCCCACCTCCCTCCCTCATCTCCTCCCTGCCCCTTGCCAAGTCCACTGATTGGGGAGGACCTCCTCCCCTTTCATCTGACCCTGTTTTATCCGGTATTTTCAGGACTGGCTGCAAAGTCTTCCTCTGTGGCCTAGCAGGACTGTTCCTCCCTTGGGGGGTTGGGGAGCCTGCCATTGAGTTCCTGTCAGAAATAGTCCCTGTTCCCCTTACTATGGGAAAACAATTTGTTACTGAGCTACCACAGGCTACATCCAAGCAGAGGTTCTAGGTTATATCCATACATGGTCCAGACACCTGACAGATTTTATAATTGCCTATTTACCTTCGGCCAGGCAGAGATTTCACCTATGCTGGCCCGATAACCTATGCTGGTGGAGTGTCAGTCTCAGAAATATATCTGTGCCCAGATATATTTGGTCCTTGTGGAGCTCCTATCCTTTCCACATCATATGAACTCTCCCTTCTTTCATACGATTCCCTGCACTCTGCCGAAGGTTTGGTTATGAGTCTTAGTATCTGCTTTGATACACTGCTAGGTGTATCAGGGGCCCTCTGCGGTAGGCTCCTGTCCTGTTACTTCTTTTCTCCTATGTCCAATGCACATCCCATTTGTCTTTCTAAATGAGGATTGATCATCTTACCCCGGGTCCTCTTTCTTGTTTATCTTCTTTAGGTGTATAGATTCCATTATGTTTATCATATCTTATAGGACTATATGAGTGACTATATACCATGTGTGTCTTTCTCCTTCTGGGATACTTCACTCAGAATGATCTTTTCTAGATCCCACCATTTGCCTACAAGTTTCATGATTTCCTCGTTTTTGATTGCTGAGTAGTATTCCATTGTGTAAAAATACCACAATTTCTGTACCCATTCCTCCGTTGAGGGACATCTGGGTTGTTTCCAGGTTCTGGCTATTACAAATAAAGCTGCTACAAACATGGTTGAGCAAATGTCCTTGTTGTGTACATGAGCAAATTTTGGGTATATGCCTAGCAGTGATATAGCTGGGTCTTGAGGAAGCACTATTTCTAATCAAATCTCTTCTTGGCTGCCTTTGGATCAAGATGTAGAACTCTCAGCTCCTCCAGTGCCATGTCTGTCTGTACTCTGCCATACTTTCTAGCCATGATAATAATGGACTAAACCTTGGAAACTGTAAGCCAGCCCCAATTAAATGTTTGCCTTTATAAGAGTTGCCAAGGTCATGGTGTCTATTCACAGTAATAGAAACCCTACCTAAAACAGCTTGGAGCAAGGTTAATACTGAGTTCTTTGTTACCTTTGTGCATAATGAAAAATTATTCTAAAATTGACAATAAAAATAGCACTCATAACAAGCACTGAGTTATACTTAACCAAGACATTTGACCTACGATTTTTTAAGTAACTGGCAGTGAGAAAATAAAAAAAAAAAATATTGGGCACAAGACTAGATTTCACAACCAAATATCCTCTTTTAATGCTGGATTTATTATTTGCCTTCTCAGCAACTTTGAACAGATCTTTGGTGATTAAACTATAGCTGTGAATTACCTTTCTTTACTCAAGTACATTAAGATGGCAGCTGTGTGCGTTATTAGTTACTCACAGATATTTTAGATTAAACTATTTATATGTCATACTTCATTCAAAGAGCTAAGTGATGAAATGAGGAATGTTTTGTTAGTAATTATAGTCTATTAAAAATTAATTTACACTCCATTACACGCTTTCAACAAATATAATAGAAACCTCATGGAATGTTGGAACCAAAAGGGACATTTAAGAGATTAGTTCAGCTCCTTAACTTTCTATGAGATGTCTGAGTGCCAGGAAGTTTGGGACTTGCCCAAGGTCATAATAAATTTATGGGGTTTGGTTGAACAAGCATTTACAATACTTCAAGATCTGGGATGGGTCATAGACATGTTACAGTGAGTAAAACTTCATTCTTTTACAAAGGGAGATGGGAACAGGAAGAGGAAAGGGACAGATGGAGGTAATGCAATTTAGAAGCAAACCAGAAAGCTGAGTATAGGATACCATGAAAACTAAGGTGCAGATGGGTTACGTGATCCTCCTTAGGCAGCACTGGATCCTGTAGAAAAGGAAAAAGAACCTAAACATTTGAAAAACAAAGGGCAGACAGATATTCCAAGCAAAGCTGATCACAGATGTCAAAGATGGAAGAGGTAATGTACTATTGCATTCTTTGGGAAGCTCCCTGCTCTTTGCTTTTACTATAAAAAGGTGTGAGTAGGGAGAAGGAATATATTAACCTGAAAATTGTATATTTCTAGAGAGAGCTGACTGTATACCATTTAGAATCCTGATTTTTAATCCTTTAATTTTGGAAATTTTATCAGAAAAATTACTGTAGCACTCAAGAAGTGGATGCTAAGGTGGTAGATAAGATCAATGGTGGTAAATATGGAGGAAAGGAAGTTAATTCAAGAAGTATGTAAGAAAAATAATTATTAATTAAATGACAGATACTTGGGGCAGATAAGCTAATGTCCTGGGCAAAGAGCCTAACAGTTCCCTGGAATTTCAGGTGGATATTAGCCATGAGCTCCATTTACTCATTTTTTTAATCTCTTCCCCAGTCTATGTCTCTGACTTCCAGCAAATGGAATAGAAAATAAAAACCAACAAAAATCCTTATGGTTACCCTATCTTATCCTATGAGCAAAAAGATCTTCTGGCCATATACAGATATTACCGAGAAAGACCACTGGCATGACTGAGCTGAGACTTTCAGTGCAATTTTCATTGACTCTAGACTCCAGAGAATTCACCCCAAGATTTAAGTATATCCTCTAACGTGCACCACCTCAAACCTCCATCCCAACACCTGTGTTATTAGACTCTCATGGAAGATTGTGTTGCCTGTGGAAGAGGGCATATTATTGATTACAGTGACTATAATTAAATTATGACCCCAACCAAACCATCACTTATTTGATGGACTTCAAGATGTACTTTCTTAGAACTTTTCATGTATTGACAGTGTCTAGACTCCAACATCCAAGCCCTGTTTTGCAGGTTACCCCGTGGAATCTAGACAGTGTCAATAGATGAAAAGTTCTAAGAAAGTAGATCTTAAAGTCCGTCACACATAGAAATAAGTACTAATTAATTAGCTTGGTTGTGGTCATCACTTGCATGCTGTTCTCATTACACTGTACATTACAGATACATATAACTTACATGTGTTAATTGTGCCTCTCCACAATCCTGAAAAGTATCTTCATAAAAGCAAAGGTCAACACAGTCTTAATCTACGAGAAGATTAAAAAGAAAAGTCTTATCTCAAAACATAGAGTGTTCAGATAGAAAGATCTGTGTTCAGTTAAGAGCATATAGAAGAGGGGGTATTAAATATCTGTTAAATCTAATAATGGAGAAGCCACAGGTGACTTTAGTGAGAGCTGTTTTAGCAGTCAATGCCCTCAGTTACACTGAGTGGGTTGAGGGGTACACGATTGGCAAAGGAGCGACTGCTTATCTATGCTCTCCCTTGAAGGTTGGGCCGAGGTTTGAAGAAGCAGCGCAAGAAAATATCTAGAATTAGAGCGAAAAGAGAATAATTTTCTATTTGATCCAGGTTAGTTGTTTAGCACATTTATAGGCCACAGGGAAAGCTGCTGAGGGGAAAGCAAATAGTGATGAGAGAGCAGAATGGGCAGGGACCTGGGAAAAGATGCAAAGACGATTGAGATCAGAGGCCTGTGCAAACTGGTCCGGCATCCAACAGATGAAGAACTTTTTTTTTTTTTTTTTCCAAAACGAGAGAGCTGCAGCCATGTATATAATTATGAAAGCAAATTTGGTGGGCAGTTTACTTGATGTGTAGATAGACAGATAGACGGAGAATGAATCTGCATTTTCTACACAGTAGAAGAGCATCAAGGCATTGACAGATCTGACAGCTTCCAACTGATAGTACTTCAGCTGCGCATATTTTGTTCTAGCAGGAAGAAAGGTAATCTGAGAATGAGATGGATTATACTCCTCGTGGAATAGTATGTAGGTGAAGACTGAGGGAAGCGGGGAAGGCAATTAGGAAAGCAAAAAACAAACAGATCTGTTGAGTTGGGTGACTCCATTTGAGGCATCAATATTCTCAGGCTTGAATGATCCCTCCCCCCAGTGGTGACTTTCTGCTTAAATCTTTCAAATGGTTATTCAGCATAAACTACAAACATCACCTCAATCCCAATAGGCTGGCAATTGTGTGACTTCAACGTACAGGTTAAGCAGCTTCTCCAAGGTTGATCTACTGGCTAAAAGGCGGAGCACAGGTCTGCCCAACTCAAGATACTGTTCTGAATACTGCTGATGATTTGAATAGGAATGGCCCCATAGACCCATGTGTATGAATGCTTGGCCCATAGGGAGTGACACTATTAAAAAGTGGCTTGGCCTTGCTAGAGGAAATGTGTCACTGTGAGCGTGGGCTTTGAGGTCTTATATGCTCAGTCTAGGCCTCGTGTGGCAATCTCTGTCTGCTGCCCTTGGATCAAGATGTAGAACCCTCAGCAACTTCTCCAGCATCATGTCTGCCTGCACGGTGCCATATTTTCTACCATGGAGATAATAGCTTAAACCTGGGAATTGCAAACCAGCCCCAATTAAATATTCTTCTTTATAAGACTTGCCATAGTTGTGGTGTCTCTTCACAGCAATAAAACCCTAAC